AAGGTGTAGAGATGATGGATGGATGGTTTTCATGTGCAGAACTTTATGTGGAGTCACAGCAAACATCTGTACCGTGATATTTGATGATGATTTATATGTTTTAAAAACTCCATTATTACCATCAAACACTGTAAAAGAATTTGATGTGTGTTTATTTTTTAAATACAGATTTTTGATGTGGAGATTATTGACAGTTTGGGTCTGTTTAGTTTCTGTTTGTTTGTTTACAGGCTACATGGATGAAAACCTTTTTTTTCCAGATGCTTCCATTTCACCAGATTATCTGTAATTTAACAAAACAGCCAACGTGTGTGAAACGAAGTCAGGTGTTTGCAAAGCTACAGTTAAAACCTGGTACACGTTCCTGTTTTACAGTGATGGGGTCTAAATGGGCCCACGTCAACCCAGTGTGCAGTCTGGTTCTGGTACCTGTTCTGCAGAGCAGCAGGCTGCTGTAGGTCACACACAGCAGCAGGTAATTCAGGAAGCTCTGCAGCATGGGCGTGTTCACCTGGAAGGTGCTGGCCAGGTACTGAGACGAGACAGCGGTCCCACAGATGAGACCCGCCAGGCCCTGACCCATGGCCAGGGTCCGGGCCAGGCGCCTGCAGACAGAACCGACCGGGTCACAAGTTGAAAACATTTTGTCTTGAACTCAACACTGCAGCGAGCTTCACATGTGAGCCGTTCAAATCAGCTGCTGGTCTGACTGAAGCTCAGGTGGTTCTGAGAAGTTCTAAAGTCCAGAAACGATGAAAGAATCAAACCGGGCCGGTTTAATTTCAGCCTGTTCTGTGAACTGCATGAGGAAGGTGGTTTAGCTACAAACCGACATGAATAAGATCATTTCTGTGATGTGTTCAGGAGCCAGAGCAGGAACATGTGTCACATTAACAATGCCTCCCAGTGAGGGATGATGGGAGCTGTGGTTCTGGCTCAGTGTGTTGCTGCCCCCCACAGGCCACCCCAGGAACTGCACAGACAGTTTCAGCCAGACTCAGCTCGGACTCTACGGGACCTGGTTTCTGATCCACATTAACTTCACTGAGTTCTGTAGTTGAACGTCCACACGTGTGCGTTTCTGTCTCATCCACATCAGATCAAACTGATCGACTGGCTTTGATGCTTCACATCACAACAGAACACGAGGATCGGACCAGGTCACGGACAGGATGTCAGAGCTCATAAACACCCTGTTCAACTAAAGCTCAGAACTCCTTGGTCCCACCAGGACTTCTACCAACAGAACCGGATCAGGGAGTAACAGCAAGGTTCAGGACGTTTGATTTTTCTGAGTTCAGTGATGAGAAAACAAGAAAGACCTCATTTATCGTCAGAACATCAGCACTGAGTTGAAGGTTAACGAGCAGCTCCTCTGATCATTAACGTGAACAGAAGCTGAAGAGTAACTTCTGTCTGCCACAGAACTTCTTCTGTTCAGGTTCTACTGGGTTCCGTTCTGTCCCGTTAGTCTGAGTGAGTTTCTATTTTAACAACATCTTACTGAAAATACACGTCCAGTAACGGAACCGCAGGAGAAACAGAAACGGACTCTCCTCACAGTGGATCCTGTCTACAGATGGTTCTGGTAGGTTCTGGAGGTAAACGGTCCTTCCGTCGTCTAGAACTGGTTCTGACCAACCACCATCACACATGCTGATATGAGCCTGGAAAGTTTACCCAGAATGCACTTTGTAAAGTTTCCTCTAGTGACTGATCAGAACCAGAACCACATCCAGGGTACCACTGATTGTTTCTATGACTCTGTGTCACAGACATTAAACTGGTACCACTATGATCCATCCCATAATACTGATGCCACCAGCTGCTGGCAGAGGACATGAACAGAACCAGGTCCAGTGTTCAGACTGAGACACCTGGATGGATGTAGAACTGATCTGGTGTCAGGCTCTACCAGAACTCAGATGTGTTCTTTCTCCTGAGCCGGCTGGTTCCGGTCCGATCCTTCCTCTCTGTTTACTCACCAGGTAAAAACCTCCTTCGGTCTGAAGCTCCGGATCTTCTGCAGGAACCTTCTGCTCATCTCCTCGTCTCTCTCTGGACCCTCCATGTTCTCAGCCATGTGGTCTGAGCAGTGATGCAGGAACCGGAGCGGCAGCCTTCAGTCCACCTCCTGAATCATTAACCGGACCAGAGGGCAAAGATTCTTCCCGTCCTTATCAGTGAGCGTGTCAAGGCTGAGTGTGACGGATCAAACACGACGCCGACCCAGACGGCGCTGCTGATGGACTTCAACAACGAGTTGTTATGGAAACCACAGCTGCAGAAAGTAAACAAACCTTCAGTGAGTTTGAGGTTCTGATATTCACCCAGAGTTCTGCTCCACAGCTGAGCCAGTCAGACCAGAACATCCCAGTGACTTCAGAGTCTACGCTTCAAAGCTCTCAGGAGGTCAAAGGAAAGAAACTTTCATCTGAAATGTTCTTATTATAAAATCTTATTTTCTGTTTTGATTTCTCAGGAAAGTCTTTTGTCAGGAAACAAAACGACGTCGCCTGAGAATGAAAGCAGCGAATGAGAGAAAGCAGAACCACACGAGTTCTGATCAGTGAGTGAGAAACGACTGAAGATTAAAGAGAGGGAACTGGACCAGAACAAGACGTCTGAGCAGGAGTTTAGTGTCACACATGAAATTAAAATATCACATAAAAATGAGAACGAACACGACATCAGGAACAGAACATTTAGCAGACCCTACCAGAACCGCTCTAAGTCCTGCTGGGCCTCAGGATGACGGCAGTTCTTCCTCTGTACGCCATGATGGCGTGTTTTCTGTGTTGGACTTTGGTTCTGGTTCTGTATTATCCCTCACAGACCCGGTTCTGTGTCTGC